CCGCTTGCGCCATCTTGCACCCACCCGGTGATTCTGTCAGCTCGCCCGAGGTGGGCGCTCCCGCACTCGCCACGCCGAGCCCGCCCCGCCCTCTTCCCTCCGCCCGCCGACTGCCGCCCCCCTTCCCAACCCTCCGGTCCCCTCCCCCAGTCCCCTCTCCCCGGAGGCCCGGTCTAGGGAACAAAAGAGCCGGCGAGCGCTTTTAGCGGCCGGACATTCCGGGCTGCTCGGCGGACGCGCCCCCTGAGCTTTGAACTGTGGCTGGAGCGGCCGGCGCCGTCCCAGGCAGCAGCCCCCTCCCGCCCTCCCCTTGGGCCAGCCCGGACTTGGGGGACTGGAACCTTGGAGACCCCGCGGACTGTGGAGTGGGTCCGGGCTGCGGAGAAACACGCAAAGATGCGGGATTTGCTCTGGCCATCTCTTTCATCGGCGCCCTCCTCCACCGTGTCCAAGTCTATATTTTCGAGATAATTCCCTCAAAACGGCATGAAGTTGTCAAAGATTCAGTTTTCCATGGGTTTCTGGTACTTCCACCCAAAGGCGAGGACGTTGAGCTGCAAGATTGGCCTCTCTAGACTGAGGCGTCCCCCGCTTGGGTGGACGGGAGAGAGGAGTGGGGGGGGGCAGGGGGGGCCTCCTCCAGGGTGGGGAGAGTCGACCCCACAGGACAATGCGAACGCTCAAGTAACCCGCTTCCCACCGCAGTTCCGCAAGCTGTGCGGCCCAGCCAAGCCCGGCGGTCGCTCTCTGAGCTCACCTGAAAAATAAAGATAGTCACATCTCTCCTACTCACCCCTAGAGACCTTTTAAACCACACAGGTCCTGACAGATGGCCTGGGAACTGGAAAAGCAAACTACAAGTTACAATTCCCAGTAACATTTCCAAAGCCCAAAGAAGACTCAGTGTTTCACATCAGAGAACAAATGAGGAGACCACATAGGTCCCGTGTGAAAATGATACACTAGTAGAAGGTAGGCATGCCTCCTAGGAGTCACATGGGCATGCTAGCCCTCAGAGATCTTGCATCTTCACCACTCACTAGTATATGATCTGTTGAGTCCAGCATGATCCAACGAAATTACTGAGCACCGCCGGGCTGGCGTGACTGGGTGGTTGAGTATCGATCCATGATCCACGAACCAGGAGGTTGGGGTGCATGCCCGATTTCAGGCTCAATCCTCAGGCATGCAGAAGGCAGCCTCTCCTTGATGTTTCTATGTATCTCCCACCCTCTCTAAAATCAATAAAAAAATATGAAAATTATTGAGCACCTACTTAGTTCCAGGAGCAGGAGATTTAAAGGGAGTCGTCTCTGCCTCACTCAGCTATTGCTCCTGGCATTGGACTGGGATGGCAGAGGAATAACCCAGTCTCTCTTTTGATACCAACTCTGGAATCTTGGGACCAGGAATGTTACCCACCTATAAAACTAACCGTGGTGCAGATGGGTAAAGAAGTGCAGGCCTCCAGAAACCTGACAAGCTTATTGATGATGGGGTTTGTGTGGCCCAGGTACTCCGAACTCTGTAGTAGCAATTTGAAGATGAGTCTGAGAGGCAAGCGCTTGAGGCATGTGAACAGTGGGAGGCAATGGGGAAATTCAGGGTCAGCAGCACACCAAAGCCCCCAACTGATTTTAGTAAGGAAGAGCAGGAATGATGGACTTCTATTTGCCATAGGAAAGGGAGGGAACGGGTGGGGGGGTGCACCTTGGGCCCAAAGTCCTGGGACTCCCTCCCACAGGGCTTTGAATTCTCAACAAACCCTTCTTGGCTTGTCCTGAACTCAGAGAGGTCAAATTGGTGTCCTGAGCTGCTGTCATTTAAAATTCATTTTGACAAGTGTTTAATTCTTCTTTATCACAACCCTGGTCTAAGAGTGATATGCAAATGATGGCTATTCTGCCACATATAAAATGTGCAGTATCTCTCCATATGATCTGTCAATTAACTTGGGTCTGGCCCACCAGCCACGTTGGGGGTGGTCCTGGGCAGGGCGGCCTCTGGCTTTTGGTTCCCTCCATTAGAAAAGCATGCACATGGCCCTGGGCAGGTAGCTCAGTGGTAGGTTGGAGTGTCGTCCCAAAATACCAATATCAGGTTTTATCCCCGGCCAGGGCACATGCAAAAATCAGCCAATGCATGCATAAATAAGTGGAACAACAAATTGATGTTTCCCCCTCTCTCTCTCAAATCAATAAATAAAAATTAAAAGGCATGCATGTTCCAGGTTCTGTAAAGATCTTAGCAGAGAAGATGCCAACCATGATCCTGAGATGAGTGGGGGTGTGAGTGAGAAGTTTTGTGTGTGACTGTGTGCCCATGTTGGAGTTAATGGACACAAAGGTATTTGTGACGATCAGTATGCACATGTGAAGCTCTGAGCTTGCCTACATGTGTGAATGTGCAGCCATGAGCAATTGTGGAGACCTGAGTTATGCAGAACAACTGTGGAGCCCCAAATCTCTGGAGTTGTTTGTTCACTCTTCTCTTGCATCCAAGAAAGTAAAAAAAAAAGGTGTCCAGAAGGGACAAGATCCCCAGAGAGCCTAAAAGAATGCCATCCATGAACATATCTTTCCTAAGTTTAAGTCTTTTTCCTAAGTGCCTGCTGAAGGAGGAAGATGGTTCATTCTTTCTCATGACCACCTGCTCTCTGCCCTCCAAAACCAACATTTCCCATCTGGTAAGAAATGCATTCTCTATGCAGAAAGGCTGAGGAAATTCTAGACATTGGTTCCAAAAGAGAACCCCACATTTTTTGGAAAATAGTTTATTAATTCATTATAAGGACAGATACATGATCAATGCCTTGGCTTAACACTAAAAAATGTCTTATTTATAAAGAGAAAAAAAAGCTGGAAAATAATTAAATAACAGCATAAACTAAATACAAACAAATAAATGAGCAGGTATGATTACACTTGTCATGCATCAAAAAAAGGGGAGGTTTTAAAATGAGACTCAAAAACGTAAGGCATCAATGGTAGGTGACAAAGGGATTAATACCCTGTAAAAGGCCAATAGACTCTTTTCTAATAAAAATACTACTACAAAGACACAAACCCAACACTTCCAAATTACCCAGAGTCCAAAATCATATATAATACTAGTGAGTAATGGCCACTTTCTTATCAACTGTGAGTTATAGGCAGATACCAGATTTATTACTTATTTGCTTTTGAGAAACAATTTTCCACCCAACCTAATGGGTTATAAATTGTCTCATTTGCAGCTATTTAATTTAAACCAGAACCTCAGTGCCTGTTAAACAAGAACATGAAAAATGACTACGTAGTGTAATGCTAAGAGCCTACTGTTAAAACAGCCATTTAATTCAGGGCAGTTTTTTTTTTCTTTAGAAAAAAAATCAAACCAGCAAAATAAAATGAGGCTTTTGACCTTCAGAGCAATGATGAAACATATAGAGTGGTGTTAGCCACAGCAACGCTGAATGCTACAGAAATAGTACAAGTGACAATCCTGTCCTTAACAAGATACAAAACCAACATGACTAATCTTTAGTGTTATCATAGGCTGGTTGAAGGAGGGGGAAGGGAAGGAGCTGTAGGTGGGATGTCAACCTTGAGTGACACCCGAGTGTAATAAACACAGATGCCGAAAGGGTCTGAGGAAGCCGCAACTCTGCTGAGAGACATTTTACCATTAAAAAAAGAGGGGGTGGGGTGGGGTGGAGATAGACTGGTTATTTCTAATTTAGCCCAGAAGCCACAGTTAACCCTTGATATGCCAATCAGTTAAAAAGATGCATTTAGGGAGAAAGGACCCTACATTTCATACTCCTATGAGACGCTGAGGTGCAAAAATCAAATAAATTGCATTGTTTTCTCTACACAGGAAATGGAAGTCAAGCTTGTCCTTGTGTGGCAGGTCAAGAGAAAATGACTTCAGGATTGAATTCAAAACAAAACAAAATGAGCCAATTGCCCTTGTCCTGCGCAAAGACCTCCCTTCCAGCACCCGGAGGAATGAGATTTCTCTCACTCCTACCCCATCGGCTCACGTTCAAGGTGCTCAGAGTGGGAAGCTGCGGGGCTGCAGAGCCCCCTTTAGCTTTAGCTGGGAAGGAATGTCCCAAACCCCCCTGCATCCAGCAGGCCTGCCTCCCTGCACAGACGGGAGGGGGGAGTTTTATTCTGAGCCTCTGGGTTGTGTTTCTGTTTCCCCATCTCAAAAGTCCCCTTGTGTGGCTTGGATTCATCACTCCAAGGAGGACCCTCCCATCTCAATCCCAGGGGGAAAAGATACAAGGGAAGCTGGAAAGTCTTCTTCAAACCTGCACTGGGGGTGGGCAGCCTGCCTGGGGCGGAGGCATATGGCGGCACAGAGAGAAGAGGGGGCAGGAGGGTACCCGGTAAAGTGAAGGGGCAGGAGTCACGCTATGGCCTCGAAGCAGACATGAGGTAGTCATGTTGTTAAGAGAAGGAAGGCGGGAGGCCACATGACACAGTCTATGAGAGGCGTGAGAGAGGAGAGGCAGGCAGCAAGAGGAGAGCCAGAAGCAGCAGAGAGGAAAGGAGAGACTGTCAGGGCGGAAGCGAAGGGCACTAGAGTTGGGAGAGCAAGTTGGCGGGGGAGAGGCCACCGGAGTAGGGAAAGGAAAGGAAGGAGGGGAGAGCAAGAGAGAGCAGATGTTCAAAACCAGGCACTTCCTAAATTACAAAATCAAATGCAGAGATGCTCCGAGGGACCAGCGTCACCCTCTCAGTTTGGGCGATGGGAGGCAGCAATGGGACTAAAATATTAGGCATTCAGGGCCTACTTGCACTCAGCCCAGCCAGACAGGAAAATGGGCCGGGGCTGTCTTGTCAGACAGGGCATTGGAAACACTCTCAGAGTGTGTAATAAAAGGCTGGGTGACGGAGGTGGGGGACCCACAGGGCTGGGCACTGGCCGTTCTGGGGCACAGTCCTGACCTGGAGGGCCAGGTAGGCTGTACTAACCACTGCCTGGACCCAGGTTTCCCAGCTCACCAACCAGCACACACAGATGCCTCACATATAGCCATGCCTCACGTGTCTCTCACATACCACATGTGTCACCGAGTATGGGGGGAGTGAATAAGCCATTTCTTCCTCTCCCTCCAGCCAAAGCCCCCTAGGAGGCTCCAAATGGCTTGATGATGTTCAGTATCCGCAGGTACACAGGTGTCATATCCCATGACCCATGACAGCCTGTCCCAAACTGCACCTCTAGGGGAGCTAAGCAGAGGAGGAGACTGAGGCCCTGGACAAGCCGGGGCTGGCTCCTAGAGGGCAGGGGGCCTTTGACTGGCAGCTGTCCCCAGGGGCCTCCTCCAGAGCCTCACTGGGCTGGAGGTCCAGGTAGGGGCAAGACGGTGCCTCTGGCAGGCAGGTGAGTCTGTCTGGCCCAGTGGTCGCCTGTTCACTGCCTCCCAGCTCCCTGTCCAGCCAGTCTCCCCCTTGCCCTAAATCCACAACACCCGAAGTGAGGTCAGGAGCCTCCGAAGGCAGGAAATCCTCAGGTTCCAGGTCCTGGAGGTGGAGGTCAAGGTTCCCTTTGGAGGCACTGAAGTCAGAGTGAACAATAACATCGGCCTCCACCTGGTTCCTGCAGGCCGGGGGTGGCTTCTTCCTTCCGTTGCCCTGGTCAGAGCAGAGAACACCAAGACAGGTGACCATCACTGAGAGTGGTCATGAGAAGAATGACCAACATATTTGGGGTGGAGAGAGACTGACACCCCACTCCCCCAGCGACCAGAGTATATATCCCATGGGAGTTGGTAAAGGAATCATGCTGACTACCCTACAAGAGATGGTGACCCATGGGAAGGCAGGGGAAAACGGAATACTGCCGTTTGCCCTTGCCCAGGAGTTCCAGAAGTACGGGATCAGTCAGGCGTCAGTGACTAGAAGAAGGGGCTGAAGGCACTCAGGCCCATGGTAACTCTGCTTATGTCTATGCAGAGGAGGAACTGCCCCCAACTCAGGTGAAACACAGACTCCTGCAAAGTAGCGGCCTCTACCCACTCACCTATAGAGGCTCCAGTGGTCTCCTGGCTAGACTTCTATCCCAGGGACATTACCATCAGGGGTCTCCCGAGAACTCACTACTTGCTCTTCACAAGCATGGGGACCCTTCTCTCCCTTCCTCCCCCTTCCTCCCCAGAAACTGACCTTTATGGCATCATACACCAGAGCCTGCAGCAACAGCGTCTGCCCAGTGCCAGCAGGGGGCAGCAGGGCCCGGGTCAGATAAGGCACAGGGCCTGCCTGGGGCAACTCACAGCCTGCCCAGGAACCTGCCCAGCTCGGCCCACCAGGCTGAGCCCACGAGATCTGCATGGGGAGAGAAGCCGGAGCACTAGCTGGGAGAGGGAAGTGGATGGAGCCCCACCGTGGTCTCTGACGCCCGTCTTCTGTGGGGAGGAGCGCAGAATAGCTGTGGGGAGGAGCGCAGAATAGCTGAGAGTCTGGAGGGAACTAAGGAAGAAGTCCACCTGCAGAAAAGCCTCGGTTTCCCAGCCAGGCAGGGTCTCCTTCAGCAGAGAGACAGGGAAAAGGTGCGGAAGGACTAAGGGCTTTGAGCAGGCTGGTCAGAGGTGGGATGAGCCCCCACTGCCAGCACGGAGGGAACCTGCCCCACGCGGCCCACCTTATCCAGGTCCCAGATCCACTGGGCTACAGCCAATCTCATCCTCCTCTTTTCCCCGTATTGGAGAGGCTGGGTCTTAGAGGTTTCCCCAGCTCCTAGGATGAGGGATCTGGGGGTTCTGGAAACCCTGAGTTGCCTGCAAACAGCCCATCGGGGGTCCTCCCCTCCTTCCATGAGAGCAGGCTGACCTATTCTGTCAGGGGCCCATCTGCTTCCCAGCCCTGCCAACCTTTTTATGGAGGGAGAAACAGTGCCTTTCTTCTGCAGCTGGCCCAGAAGGGGTGGGGTGCAGGGTCTCCCACAGGGTTACCCGTTGTGCTCTTGCGCCCCCTGGTGACCTATTTGGGAGTGCGCCACAGTATGGGACTAACCTGCCTAGGCTCCAGGCTCACCTTTCTCTTGGAGTGACCCCGGCCGTCGGAAGCTCCACCACCCATAAGGCTGTGCACTTCAGCCCTGTCCTCGATGTCTGAGGGTGGTGGGGCCCAGTCCTGGGGACGGGGGTGCACAAGGGACTCCAGTTCATGGGTAGCTGGGGGGTTGGGAGATCCAAGGCGGGCTCGGGAGTACAGCGCGGGGTTCCCAGCAGTGGCCGTGGAGGACAGGCCTGGGAGGGCTTCCCTGGAAGGGAAGATGGGCACAGCGGTCAGAGAGTGAGGGGTGGGGGCGGGACTGGGTTCTAGTCCAGCTTATGTCCCTGGGCGGGTTCCTGTCCATCTCTAGGACTGGGTTTCCGGTCTGTGCAACGAGTAAGTAACTGTTTGTTCAAAACAGCTGTGACACTGCAAATGGGCCCCTTCCTCCCTGGGCTCCAGGCACCTGGAGATTTGGATTCCCTCCTTCCAGGATGCTGGCAGCTACCGAGGAAATGGGAGACAGACAGCTCGGCCTATGTATGCCCTTGCTGAGGGGGTACGTTGGGGGCTCCCCTAAAGCCATCCCCCACTCTCATGAGAACATTACCCCTAATCCCTTCACTCCAGAGACCCAACTTTAATGGGGATTCTGGGGGTGCCCAGGGCAAGTCATGGCCACTTTCCCTGCCCTTTCATCTCCGCAGCCCTTCTGGAAATCTCTGCTCCCCACGGTCAGACTGGCTCCTTCGCGCACCTGTGGGGGCCACGGCGCAAGACAGCACACATGCAGGCCAGCAGGCAGAGGAGGCCCAGGCAGACGCCCACGATGATGCCCGTGACTGAGTGCACATCCAGGGAGTCTGGTTGGGGAAAGAGAGGGGACAGGACAGGTCAAGGCCAGGCGAAGGCCAGGGTTCCTAGATCAGGACTCATATCAGTGGTTTCCTCAGGGCACCACTGGCTTGAGTCTCACTCTTCGAACAAAATCTTCTGATGCAAGGACAGGAGGGCCCCACAGCCTCACAGAGACCACAGCCACCTCTCTCTTGCACTGTCCTCCCCACTGGACATCTGAAAGTTGTGGTCCCTCCCCATCAACCTGCCTGCCTGCCGCCTAGGGCTGGTTTCAGGGGGGGGGGGGCAGTAAGTGCAGTGGCACGGCCTGTGCTCAGAAGGGCTCTGTGCTTGGTTTAATGCTGTGCTGTCACCATCTTGAAATTCTTCCTACTTTTAAAATAAAATAAAAAAACACCCTCATTTTCATTTCACATCGGGCCTGCAAATTACATAGCCAGTCCTGCTGTCCCCCAACACCCCCATAAAGCTCATCACCGCTCCAAGCCAACCCTCTAATCCAAGCAATCTCCCCAAAATCTGACCTCTAACCGGATCACCACTGAACTAAACCACACCAATTTCCCCTTCACATCGGTCCTCTCTGCACCAAACTAGGAGGGCAGCTGTCTGGAGGCAGGGCCTTGGAAGAGATGACTTTAGGGTTAGAAGTCAGCTCCAGGGGTCCCTGGAGACCTGGGCTGCCTCCGGATGAACCCACCCTCCCTTCCTGCCCTCTTACCTGCGAGCTTCTCCTGGAGAGTGATCACATCCTGCAGGCCGGAGAAGGGCCCAGGCCCCACCTCTGTGCGGGCCCCCATCTTGAAGAAGTACCTAGTGTCGCTCTCAAGGCCACGTACCTCAGCACTGAAGATGTTTCCTGGGAGGCGGGGGAAGCAGGGAGAGCAGGGCTCTGGGTTGAGTGGGGGTGGACGCAGGGATAGGCTGGAAGCTGGACTGAGGAAGTCTGCTCCGCCCACTCAGGCAATGGCTTCTGCCCGTTCCTGTTAGAACCCCCAGGGCCCAGGGGCACCCTCACTACTAATCCAGCCACTAGAGAGGCTGGGAAGGGGGAGGAGGGCGGGGAAGCTCTTGCTCCAATACCCCTGGGCGGGAGCCCTCACCCTCGGTGGTGAGCAGGGTCCACTGGTGCTCGGGCTGGGTGTGGTTGTTGCTGTACAGGATCAGATACTCCACGATCTCCCCATTGGGCTCCGTGGGGGGGCACCAGTGCAGCAGAACAGTGGACGGCGTCAGGGAGCTCAGGCGCAGGTCCGATGGGGGCGTCGAGGGTCCTGGGGTGCAGAGGAGGAGAAGGGTAGAGGCGGGATCACTGGGAGCCTCAGCCCCGGGGGGCAGTCGTGAGACAGGGCGTGAGGTCATGGCCTTTCTTCTTCCTCCTTCACTGGAACAAACCACAAACCACAAAGCAAAATGAGGTCTGGTCTCCAACGGGGGAATTTCTGGGAAACATTTGGGGAGGGGGCTTCACCATCATGCCTCCCCTCCCTGAAACTCTTCTCCACTCCTTGGAGCAGAGCTCCCTGAACTTCCGCACCCAGGTATTTCCAAGATCGAGGAGACTGTCTGGTGTTCTAGGGACCTGGGGGGCAGAGCTCAAAAATTTTTGGAAGGCTTACATTTTATTTTAAACTGTCACACGAAATTTGCCATCTATTCCATGGTAAAATTTAATATAAAAATAGTGTTTAAAATTATCATTTAAAGTTCCTAACTCCCGTTGCCACCCCAAATCTTTAGGTAAAATTGGCTGATGCTCTGTGTGGCCTGTGTCCATGCCCCCAGGTCCTACAGAGTGATGGGCACACCAATGTGAGAAGTACAACCGTGGCAGACTTTGTGTTTTGTTTTCAGAGAAGAAGCGGATCCTGGGAGGTGGAGGGGAATGAGGAAGGGTGAGAAGGAGGGACACAGGGTGATTGGCGAGTAGGGAAGGACAGAGATTTGGGAGTTCAGGTCTTCAAGGCCTGACAGAGGGTGGGTTGGGGACCCAGGGTGCTAAGGTGTAACAGGGCCACCTCCTTGACCCTAGTGACTCTTCACTTCCCAGGCTCCAGTGTCCCCATCGGAAGAGGGAGAAACCATCCCCCTCTATAGCCTGGTCACTTGTGCTGGGGGATCCAGTGTCATAAAGTCAGCTTCAAGGAAACACTGGGCCGGGCTGGTGTGGCTCACTGGTTGAGCATCGACCCATGCACCAGGTCACTATTGTCAGGGCACATGCCCGGGTTTCAGGCTCGATCCCCAGCAGGAGGCGTGCAGGAGGCAGCAGGGGGCATGCAGGACACAGCCCAATCAATCATGTTGATGTTTCTCTCTCATAAATGTTTCTCTCTCTCCCTCTACCTTCCTCTCTCTCTAAAATAAATAAAAACATATTAAAAAAAAAAAAGAAAACATTGGGTCTCCCTAAATTCTGTATGCAATTTAAGACCATAATAACTGAGGTTATAGGGGGGTGAGAAACAATTTGCAAGCATTTAAAAAAAAAAAAATTCATGAGACCAGAGGGCCTTCACACCCCACCCCACACACATCTTCCTATTTCAGGTCTGGGACAAAGGTCTGTAGATGGGAAGGTGAACAGTCTTAGGGCCAGTAGAACAGAAGAGCCTCTGCTGTGAGAACAAAAGTCCCTTTGTCTTCAAATGCCATTTCCAGAGAGTTCAAGAGTCACAGCCTTGCAGAGTGAATTGTCCCACCTTCTCTCTCTCTCTCTCTTTTTAAAATATATTTGTATTGATTTCAGAGAGGAAGGGAGAGGGAGAGAGATTTAAAACATCAATGATGACAGAATCATTGATCGGCTGCCTCCCACCTGCCCCATATTGGGGATCAAGCCTGCAACCGGACATATGCCCTGACCGGGAATCAAACAGCAACCTCCCGGTTCATAGGTTGATGCTCGAGCACTGAGCCACGCCAGCCAGGCCCACCCTCTCTCTTTCCAGATGAGGACACAGAGGCCCTGGTGGGGAAGGACCCTGCCCCAGTCTCCCTGTGTGTCAGAGGCAGGATGGGACCCATATGCAGAATCCAGGACACCTGCCTCCCCCGTTCCCAGGCCCCTCCTCACCAGCTCAGTGGGTCTTGGCACAGACTCTTAAAAGAAGCCACTCCTCTAAAGCCTATGTTATTACTTTTATGGATAAACGGGTAAGGCTGGCACAGGACTGGCCTGTGTAAATGCCAGCAAATGACACATCCTTGTGGGGTTCTGAGGAATAGTTCGGAAAAGGGGGCTTCTGGGCCAGGAGTTGGATAAAGGTGGATTGGTGGTAACAGGGCTGAGGGGCCACTCACGGTCTGGCAGGGTGGAGCGCTCTACCACGGAGCCGAACGGCCCATCCACGTCCACGCCATGGGACTGTACCGCAAACTCATATTTGGTGAATGGCTTCAGCCCGCCAATGAGGATGTCTTCCCCGGAGCTGCCAAGGCAAGAATGTGACTGGTGATCTCGGGCACGCCCTCCTAGCAGGGCAGCTCCTCCACATCTACTCCCCTACCCCAGCCCAGCCCAGGCCCTACCCTGGGAGCGGGCCACTAACACCGGCCAGAGAAGCTACAGAGAGGTCGGCATGGACGCTGCTCCCAGGGTATCATGCTCCATGTCCAATGTCCAAGCCAGGCCCCTCCTCCAGGAAACCTTCCTGGATTAACCCGAGTCATACTTCACCCAAGGAACCATCTGTGATGCATCTTTTCATTGATACGATTTTACTTTAGCTGCAAATGTTCGCATCTATTGCTTTTTAGGCAACGTTTCCTTTGCCAAACCAGCAGCTCCCGAGAGCGGGGCTCTGTCTCCCCATCTGACTGGGGGCCCTCTCAGGACAGCGGCTGGGCTGTCTCTTCGTCATCATATTGGGAGCCGCTGAGACTGAAGAAATAGGTCTGTCTGCATCATGTACCCAAGACTTCAGTGCAAGGCTCTGTTGTAAAGGGCTGGGATCGCATGGACTCTCCTTTTCCGCCACCAGGTCGTCAGACTCCCAGTGTCCCCCAGGGTAACAGGTGAGGCCTGAAAGGTTTCTGAATCCCCTGGGTCCTCCTCCTCATCATCACCTCTGCCTTCCTCCCCCCTTCAGAGGCTTAGCTCCTCTCTCCCACCTGGTGTAATAGGTGACCAGGGAGGCATTCCTGAGCCCCCAGGGGCTGAAGCGTACAGTGTAGTTGACAATCTTGACTGTGGTGAAGTCTGGCTTTTTCCACCGCAGCCAAATGGACGTGGAGCTGTTGGATTCCGCATGGACATGAGCGGGGGGTAAGGGTGGCCCCCTCTGGATGGGCAGGTCTGGAAGGTGAAAATCAGAGTGTGGGGAAAGGAGGAACAGTCATCCTAAAAATGTATGGTGCGTCACAGTCCCCAGTGTAAAGTCATTTTCTTCTACCCTTACTCCTTGATCCTGTGAATTGGGTAACATCAATCCCACTTCACAGAGGAGGAAACTGAGGCTCCTGAGAATTTAAGTGATTTTTTTGGGGGGGCCAAGGTCATATAGATAGCAAACTGTGAAACAGAGAGGCAGCAAATCATGGCAATTAAGAGCACATATTCTAGAGCCAGGTTGCCCTGGTTCAAATTCCAGCTTGCCCCTTACTAGCTGCGTGACCTTGGAGAAGTTACTTATGTAACCGCTCTATGTCTCCATTCCCACCTCTGCCAGTGGGGCTTAGAATAGTACCTACCTCATGGTATTGTTATGAGGATTGTTAGCTAATATTTGTAAAGTATAAAGAAAAGTGTTTTTCTGTTTTAGTTTTGAGATATAATTCACAGACCATAAAATTCAGTTTAAAAAATGTACAATACAGTGGTTTTTAGTACATTCATAAGGTTGTGCAGCCACCCACACTGTCTAATTCCATAAAATTGTTATCGCCCTGAAAAGAAATCTTGTTTTTACCCATGAACCCCCATTTCACCTTTCCTCCAGCCCCTGGAACCACAAACCCACTTTATATCTCTATGGATTTGCCTACTCTGGAGCTTCTTTCTATGACAGAGGCTGTCTGGACCTCAGCGAGGACCCCCGAGCCTAGGGTTTGGGGGTGGGTGAGGTTACCAGACAGCCCGACCACCAAGGCTGGCCCAGAGGAAAGGGAAAGGAAGTTGTCCACAGACCCCTGGCCTGAGCCCCTCACCTGGTGTGGGAGCCTTCTCCGTCCTGCCCTTCCACACCGCCGCATATCCGTCCTCGTGTTTGTTGAACGCCACCAGCTTCACCTCGTACAGCCGGCCAGGGACTGAGGAAGGTCGCGGGGTCACTCACTAGCTAGAGGAACCTGTGGGGTCGCTCCTCCCCAGAAAGGATGCCATCTCCAACTCCTGCACTCAGCTTATCCACTACCCCACTGTCTGGCTCCCTCCCCCCAGTCCTCCTCACCTAGCTGGGTCAGCTCATACTGCTTCACTTTCTTCTTGAGCCGGACGGGCCCCACATCCCAAGCCTGGTCTCCACGGCCCCCTGGGGGGCTCTCACCATCAGCCTCCTCCTCGGCCCCCACCTCCCGCCAGTACAGTTTGTAGCCAGAGATCTGGGCGGGGTGAGGAGGCGGCTGCCAGGACACAACCAGGGACTCCATCCTTGCCCGTACCTTCAACTCTGCAGGGGCAAAAGGGACTGGGGAGCAGGATGAGAAGAAGGAGAAAGGGGATGGGGAATGAGGAGAAGGAGGTCAGGGATGGGAGACGGGGAAGAGGCAGGAGGAAGAGGCATTGAGCGAGAGCCTTGCCAACCTCCTCACAATGATCACCACTCAGCCACCACTCTAAGTGCCAGGCAGGGCCTTGTCTAGAGGCGAACTCACTCTCCCACAAGCCCAGAGTGCCGAGAAGGGAGGAGGGGCTCTGTGCGTGTGCACAGAGGTCAGCAAGGAGCACCTCTGTGGCAGGCCGACGGGATCTCTACGTTTCCTGAAGGAATGAATGCATGGATACTGGCCAGGCCAGAGGGTCACAGGGTTGCTGAGGCCAGCAAGGAGGGAGGGAGCCCTGGCGTGGGGACCCTATCTGAAGCCTAAATGTGGGGGACTTACTATGTGTTGGACACTGTTCTAAGCACTTTGCACATATAGTTTAACTTCATTCTCACAACCCAATAAAATAATGGAAATACCATTATCCCATTTACAAGAAATTGACGCTCAGAGAAGTAACTTGCCCAAGGTCACACACTAGATAGTATATGCGCCCGGTTTTGTCTGCATTTAATCACTCTACCATTGGGCCTTTCAACAAAACCAACAATTGTAATTACGGAAGCAGCTGCTATGTAACAGCTATTGTGTACTAGATATTTTGTTTGCAATACATTAATTATCAATCCTCCCTCCTCAGCTTGCAAGTAAATGAAGCCTTAGAGCCGTGAATGGTTTGTAGGAGGTCACACAGCAGAAGAAGGGGCACTTGAGGCCAGATGTGCCTGCAAAAGCCAGCCCTTCACCTCTACACCCATCCCCTCTGACCCCTCAAGCAGGGGGAGCCATGGCGGGTCTCTGATGGAGAGGGTGGTTGGGTTTGGGTTCCAAGGCCACGGCCACACCCACACCCACACCCACACCCACACCCACACCCACACCCACACGGTCACACACGCCTCCTGGTCCTGTCCCCTCTGCGCCCATACCGTGGCTCTGGTTGTGCATACTGGGCGTCCTGTGCTGCACCCACTGGGAGGGCGCCCCATAGCCAGCCCTTGTGCCAGCCGAAATCCGTACTCGGTACACCTTGTTGGGCAGAAGTGAGTTCAGCGTAAGCTGCGTCTCATTCCCTGGCACCTCGCTGGAGGAAATCTGATCTGCTGGGACAGAAGAGACTGGCTGCTGGGAGGCCACCTGAAGACAATGACCCCTAAACTCCCCCACCCAGACGCTTCCACCTGAGTCCGGTTCCTCAGTGCCCATCAGAGCCCGGAAGCGCTCTCAGCACTGGCCCCTCAGGGCCTGGATGGACCCCATGGCTCCAGGGCTGACTCCTGGGCCTCCCACCCTAGCTGACACTGCCATCACCCCCAGCTCTGAGTCAGGAGAATCATGGCATGTGGTCCCCACTTCCGCATAAGCAGTCAATGACACCCCCGCAGCCCCAACACACACACCAGGGCACAAGCACAGGGATTGGCTGTGAGAGCCACCAGGCACCACCTGCCTTTTAGAACCCTGACAACCACCCCAAGCCCCTGCCTCACCCTTCCCTCCCTCTTCACCCTCACCCTGGCTCTCCAGCTACTTGCCTAACTTTTTACTTCTTTTAAACTCCTGCCCTAGATTACCAACATCTGACCTAACACACCCTCCCCAATGCTCCATTCCCCCACCCCTGCAACCCCCACCTCCTTATCCCTCAGCTGCTCTCCGGTGAGCTGGAAGGGTCCCCAAGGATCGCCTAGGCCGGTGGTTGGCCAACTGCAGCTCGCGAGCCACATGCGGCTCTTTGGCCCCTTGAGTGTGGCTCTTCCTAAGCCTTAGGAGTACCCTAATTAAGTCAATAACAATGTACCTATATAGTTTAAGTTTAAAAAATTTGTCTCTCAAAAGAAATTTCAGTCGTTGTACTGTTGATATTTGGCTCTGTTGACTAATGAGTTTGCCGACCACTGGCCTAGGCCACCTGCCCCATTTCAAAGATAAGGAAACTGAGCCAGGGGTTCAGCAGGATGACACACTGCAGCTGTAGAGGAGGTGGGGCCAGCACCCAGGCCTCCCTCTGCCTTAAGCTAGCCCTCTTTCCATTCCTGCCACCTCCACCCCTAGCCCACACTCCTCTTTTCTGGGTTCACCTTTCCCTACTCCCCTGTGCTGCCTAATTTCCTCAGACTCCAGGCCACTCTGCTCAGGTCCTCCGAGGCTCTGACCAACTTTTCACAGACACACAATTCCCAGCCAGGTGACCCCGTACCCTACCTCTACTCACCTTCCTTTCCCAAACTGTACTCTATCTTGTACTTCACCACCTGCCCATTGCTCAGGCTGGGAGGCAGGGGCAGCCACTCCACCCTGATGTCCGAGGGGTTGGGGCTGGACAGGGAGAGCTGGGGCGCTGCACTGGGGACTGAGACAGAAGAACATCAGCATGAGCTCTGTTCCGCCGACGGGAAGGTGAGGCCCAGGAGCGGTCAGAGACTTGCCCAGGTCACACAGCAAGTCAGAAGGAGGCCCAGGACCAGGATCTGAGGGAGGAAAGGGAGCCTCTCAGGGGAGCCCCAAGCTGGAGAGGAGGGGACACCCCTCCCACCCTGAAAAAGGTTTGGGGCACCATCTTCCACATTCAGTGGGTCAAAGTCACTGGTCCCTGCCTGGCTGGATGGTATGCGGGGGTCAAGGGCCACATGATATAGGGAATCACAAGCTGAGATCTCAAGTCCCAGTTGTCCTACTGACCCTGGGCAAGTCACTCTCATTTTCTGGGCCTCAGTTTCCCCAACTGTAAATTGGGAAATAGAACCCTTGCCCACCCTTGCAGGGTACAAGAGATGACACGAGGCAGGTAAGGGTCTTGGCACTCACTAGTAAAGAGAGGCCAAGCTACCATCCCCAGGGAGTTCTCTGGACCCCAAGGTGCCCACTGCAGGCACAGAGGCCCTACCATCATCCAGTGTGTGGACCAGCGCTGGGGTGGAGGTGCGGCTGGCGCCCAGCTGAGAGTAGGCCACTACGTAGAACTCATAATCCGTGTTGGGTTCCAGGTCCCGCACCTGTAGCTCTGTTGTGTCATTGTTCACTGCAAACTGGTATTCCACATTGTCCATGCCTGGGGTGGTGACACGGGGGACAAAGGGACTGTCACAGGGCCCACCTGCGGGAGGCTATCGAAGGATCCTTCAGATTGTCCCAGTCTCTGGAATAGCCTCTTTGTAGTTAAATCATCCCAGAAAATCTGCACTGGAGATTATAAACTCCCCTGGCTTCTAGTGCCACTGCATTAATCCCCCACTGGTTAGGAAGTTCTTTCTGGCATCCAGTTGAAGTGACCCCTGCTGCATTTACCAGCTGGCTCCAGGAACCCAAGTCATTTCCCTGGGAGGAGAAGATCCTGTCCCTTCTCTCCCATATACTGTGACTCAGGAGTAACATGCCACACACACGGACCCCTCCAGCACCAGGCCTAACCCATATCCACACGGGTGTCTGCTGTGGGCTCCCGCCCCCTCCCATCCTAGCCCCAAAGAACGTGGGCAGGCAACCCTGCAGTCATCCAAGTTGTCCCCGCTCTCAGCGCTCTAGCTTGGGCATCTACTGGGGGGTGTCCCCCCTCTCCACCCCCCAGCCCCGCAGACGTACCGCGAGCTTTCTGGTAGTGGAGGGAGAAGCCAATGATCTGCTCGCTGTGCAGCTCGGGCCGCTCCCAGGCCACCAGCACGGCGGAGCTGCTCAGCGGAGTGGCCGTGACCCGCGTGGGAGCGCTGGGCAGCCCCTCGCGCACAACTACCGCCAGCGCGCGGCGGCGCACGCTGTGCCCGGCGCCGTTCTCGGCCACGCACTGCTAGTAGCCGGCGCCCTGCAGGCCGATCTGCGTGATGACCAGGCTGTTGCCGCCCCCCTGCACCT